TTACTATGAAACACGAAACAGCTCACAGAAGTTTTTCACCTCGGTTCACCTCGGACCGGGGACATTGTTGAGTTTTTATTGCATGTTTTACGTTCAAATCACTAAACTTGATCAATTAAATCTACTTTCGTTCGTTGTTAACAATCACATAACAACAACACAATTAAGAGAATTAATCAACCAACAAGGAGAAAATAAGAGGGAGCATCCACCGTCATACCATAGAGAAAAAAAAGGAAAAAAAAAAGAAAAAAAAGCCGACCAATCTAGGAGGGACGTCGCACTCACACACGAAAGGGGATAATATATTCTCTTTCTTTAATTAATTTATTATGATAGGGTAATTTTTATTTTTAGTTACCGGAACGTCGAACCTTACGTACTTGACTACTTTTAGTTAATTACCGTGATTGATTATAGTTATTTATATGAAACTGCTTGTATTAGTTTTTTTTATCAGCCATTATATGTTTGACTTTATTTGGATTGATCACCTAGATATGATTTTTCATGTCTAACGTTAGAATTGAACCTTCAATCCTTAATTATTATTGTGTTTAATTCGATAGTAGCAAATGATAGCCAAAACCAGCAATAACGAGACGTAATAAAGTAGACCGAGCGTACTAGTCTACTACTTAGGCTAACCCATGGTCCAAGATCCGATATTGCTGCATTAAATCTACATAATGTACTCTTTATTTTTCAGTAGTTAGGTTTAACCGAAAGAGCGGATTTCGGCTAAATATATTGTTAAGGATAATTCGTGTAGCAGAGTGTGTTGTTACTTGAGACTACTAATTTTAGAAGATAGTGAAATCGACGTTACAATTGATAATTCCAGTTATTTCAAAATAATCAAAAGGGATCGATCTTTACTTATCGCTACACCTAATTAGTTGAGGTTCATTGAGGGAAAAAAAAATATAATTTCTATTCTTTTGCGTCGCGATGTGTGGTCATTAAGTATGGAAAAAGGTAAAACAATGAAAGAAATGACAAAATAACTATCAATAAGAAAAGAATGATTATATAAATATTTTTATAGTAACAATTTTGGGAAAAATTAGTTGGGGAACGACAGATAAAATTAAATACACAATTACTAAAATTGAAAAAAAGGAGGTATGATTCTCTCGTGGAGAGCGAAATTATTCTCTCGTGGAGAGCGATTTTTTTCCTCATCGTCACTTCTGATCGATTGATCTGTTCTTGTTTCTTTAATCTTCCTTTGCTGTTCATTTTGATATTCAGCAGCTCTATTCTTATTATATTTTAGCATCTTCGTGGGATTGGAGTGATTTGCCATCCTTTCTAGGGTTTATCGATTTTTTGGGGTTCCCAAATTTGGGGATTTCTAAACCTCCCACCTTCTATGGGATCTTCAGCGTGCATTGGCCAAGATGAAGAACTTTCACAGCGTCTTCATGGTTTTTCGTTATCGGATCGAGAAGCCCCTATCATTGACATTGCTCAAGAGGACATTAAACCAAGTGCAGAAATTTGTGAGCGCAGTCTCTTTGGGAAAGTCATAGGGGATCGAAAGGCCAGCTGGGTTGGAATCAAGCGAGCTATGAGCAACATTTGGCGATTATCTCTGCCTATGGAGGTTAAGGAATTAGGGCACAACTTTTTCCAGTTTCTGTTCCAAAGTAAAGACGACAAGGAAAGAGTAGCAAAAGGCACAAATTGGAATTTCGACAATCAGTACCTCATATTAACTGAATGGTTCTATGGCCTCTCAATCAATCACCCCATATTCCAGGAGGTGAGTTTCTGGGTTCAAGTTTACAACATCCCTCTCAACTGGCTAAGCACAGCAGTGGGTCTGAAACTGGGGTCTGTCTTTAAGAAGCTAAAAAATGTAGTTGTGGTGGGTGCTGGGAGTCATGGAGGGCACATTCTTCGTCTTCTAGTCTCCATTGACATCTCAGAACCAATCCCACGATGCGCAACCATCAGGCTGGGGGATCGGCTTAACACTGTTAGTTTTAAGTATGAAAAACTCGTAAGTATGTGCCATTATTGTGGTGTTATAGGACATCTGGAAAGGAATTGTGATAAAAGACAACAAGACATCATTCGAAATCTCTAAAAGAAGGACAATATGGAGACTGGTTGAGAGCTCCGGAAGGACAGAACTTTGCAACTTTGAATTTATCAGACTCTAGAAGCCCTTCATCCACCAACCCTACCACTCCAGCCCAACAGTCTCCATTGAAATCGTCTAGAAGCCAGGCCGAAGGGAGTAATCAAATTATGCTGATGCAAGGTGAATCTTCTCATCCTCGACATTTGGAAGCTGAAGTCTCCACATCCTTTCAAGGGAATGAGAGAGCCACCAAACCGCCTACCACTGCTTTAATCCAAGTTGAAGGTAACAACAGAGAGCTAGCTCTGCAAGAATCATCTCTTCACAATCCTCTGAACGCAGCTGAGGGTAATTCAGTTTCTTCACTCCCCACCTCTATTTCTCATGCTCATCAGCCAAGATCATTGATGGCTGAAAATATTCAAATAGTGGAGACTTCCAAGAATATGGAGATTGAAGAAGTCTTAGTTGATGCCACCATTTCCTCTGACCCACCATCTATCAAACATTGCCTCACTTCTCCCATAGTTAGTGGATCAACTAAAACCTGGAAAAGAGATAGAACCAAGGATGGAAGACTTCAAAGGGAACCAGTACTCCCCATCCTCATTGACAAGGAAATTCCAACTAAAAGGCAAAGGTATGAAGAAGAGTCTCAGTCTCATCAACAAGGTGGCCAGGTTACAGGTCAGACTGACAATAAGAAATTGAAATTGAACTTTGGAAAGGTGGAGGTTGCCAGCCTTGAATGGCACTCAAATGACCAATGCTAGCTGCGGTGTGGAATTGTAGAGGGCTGGGTGGGCCCTCTACAATTTCCCAAATCAGAGAGTCAATTAAGGCTCATCACCCAACTTTTTTCTTTCTTTCTGAAACAAAAAAAAAAACAAATGGCTTTGTGAAATCTGTAGCTACGAAGTTAGGTTTTGTTGACAGATTTTCTGTTGTAGACCCTGTTGGTTTGAGTGGGGGTTTACTTTTGCTTTGGGATTCTAATGTAAATATTATTAATATTTTGCATAAATCTTTTTACATTGCGGTTGAATTTGCTCTTGCTGCTGGCCCTTCTCAATGGGGCATATTTGTCTATATGAGCACTTGCAAGCTAACAAGAATGCAGCAGTGGGTGGAAATGGAGAGAGACAAAGATTGCTGGGGTTCCAAATGGTTTATTATGGGGGACTGGAACGATATTCGTTTCAAAGAAGAAAAATCTGGTGGAAAGCCGAGAAGTGATAGCAGTTTTCTAAGATTTAACACATTCATCAGCAATATGGAGATGGAAGAATTGCCTATGCAAGGTTACAGCTACACTTGGTGCAACTTGAGGGAAGCAGAGGGCCTTGTAGAAGAAAAACTGGATCGAGCATTTGCTTCAACAGACTGGCTGATGGACTCACCAAATGCCACAGTGTCCAACAAAATTAGAGGTGCTTCAGATCACTCTTTGCTTCTTCTCTGTCAAGGGCAAGAACATCACAAGATACCTGCAAGATTCCACTTTGAAAAGAAATGGCTCAACATGGAAGGAATCAATGAAATAGTCACTTCATCTTGGTCTCAACAAGTTACAGGGACCCCTTTTTTTAAACTCAAGGAGTAAGTGAAGAATACTAGAGCTGCCCTTCTCATCTGGAGCTCTAAGTTCAGGTCCAAAAATCAACAATCCATTGACTTGCTCACTAAAAAACTTGAGGTGCTTAGAGAAGATAAAGCTGAAGATTACTGGGAGCAATGGAATGCAACAAGGACTGAACTCAATGCAGCCCATAAGCAAGAAGAACTTCATTGGCAACAGAGGTCAAAGGTGAAATGGCTCAAAGAAGGTGATTCCAACACCAAGTTCTTCCACGCCTACACACTCCAGAAAAGAAAGCTTAATGCCATCTCAAGGCTCTTAACTCCTTCTGGAACAGTGCTTACATCTCATGAAGACATAGAGAACCACATTTCTGCATTTTACTCTGAGTTATTCACTTCAGAAGAAAGTTGGGATGGAGAGTCTATGATCCATCTTATCCCTCAGACAATCTCAGATGACATGAATCAAACCTTATTGAAGCCAGTTTCTGAGGAAGAAGTAAGAGCTGCCCTCTTCTCCCTGCCCCCGGAGAAATCCCAAGGTGAAGACGGTATGAACACTCTCTTTTTCCAACATTTCTGGAACTTGGTTAAAAAGGATGTCTATGAAGCTATTCTCAGTTTTTTTTTTTCAATCTGGAGATATTCTAAGGTACTGGAATCACACTATCCTAACTTTAATTCCAAAAGTCCACAATCCTGAAAGCCTATCTCAATTTAGGCCTATCAGCCTTTGTTCTGTCATCTACAAGGTTCTATCAAAGGTCCTTGCTCAGAGGCTTAAGCTCTGTTTGCAAGACTGTATCAGTCCCCAACAATCAGCTTTTGTGGAGGGAAGGCAGCTTATGGACAACATCATTATAGCTCAGGAGGCATACCATTTCCTAAACAGACACTCCACAGGGAAAAATTTCTTCATGTCTTTGAAACTAGACCTAATGAAGGCCTTTGACAGACTTGAATGGCCATGCTTACAGAGAATCATGCTTCAAATGGGGTTCAGATCAGACTTTGTGAAGCTCATCATGGTTTGTGTCACCACTACATCAATTTCCTTCAAAGTTAATGGCAAGGTCTGTGGCTATATCACTCCATCAAGAGGCATAAGGCAGGGGGACCCTCTGTCCCCCTACCTGTTCATCATTGCTGCAGAGCTTCTTTCAGCCCTAATATCTAATGCACAATCCCAAGGCCATCTCCATGGAATCAAACTCTCCAGCAATGGACCAGCAATCACTCATCTCCTCTTTGCGGATGATTCTCTGCTCTTCTGCAAGGCAGGAGTGGATCAAGCCATGCAACTCATCTCTCTCTTGGACAAATACAGGCTCTTTACTGGACAGAAGGTCAACTTGCAGAAGTCTGGAATTTTCTTTAGCAGGAATACTCCCTCAAATTTGAGAGATAGCATCTGTAATGTTCTTCAGAGAATTGTTCCTCATAGATCAACAATATACCTTGGGCTACCTTTGGGTATTGGCAGATCGAAAAAGGAAGCTTTTGACTTCATCTTGTCCTCCATCAGAAATAAGCTTCAAGGCTGGAAGAACAAACTTCTTTCTCCAGCAGGTAAAGAAGTCTTACTCAAATCAATTATTCAAGCACTCCATGTTTTCTCTATGACCTGTTTTAAACTTCCAGTAGCCATTTGCAAAGAAATTTCAAGGTTGTGTGCAGCCTTTTGGTGGAAATCTGGAGAAAACTCTGATAGTGGAATTCATTGGAGAAAATGGGATAGACTCACTCTTCCCAAACTCAAAGGAGGCCTGGGCTTTCATGATATAAGCCTTTTTAATGAAGCTTTGATCAGCAAACAGTTATGGAGAATCATCTCCAATCCTGATCTTTTGGTTAGTAAAATCTTAAAGGATAGATATTTTCCCAATGTCTCCATTTTTAAAGCTGTAAGAACTCAAAAAGGATCCTGGTTATGGCATAGTTGGCTTTCTTTGATGCCTACCTTTGCACAGTGTATTAGAACTGAAATCAGGGATGGGAACTCCACCAGGATTGAGGATTATAATTGGGTGCCTAAGTTGAAAAAAGCTCATCCTTCCCTCCTTGAGATTGCTAGAGGTCATTTGATATGGGTTAAGGACCTTTTGCTTAGCAATGGAACAGAATGGAATAAATGGTTGGTTGAGCAGGTTTTTTCCCCAGAGGAGAGTGCTGCAATTCTCAGCATTAATACTTTGAACCCTGATAGGACAGATAGACTTTTCTGGAGTCTTGAACCCAAAGGGTACTTTTCTGTTGCAAGTACTTATAAATATTTGGCTGCTCTTAAGCTTCAGCAAATGGACATTCCAGAGACTAGTTCAAGCAACTTTCCTCCTCATCAGATATTCAAGAGATGTTGGCAGTTAAAGATTCAAAGCAAAATCAAACACTTCCTCTGGAAATGCATTTCTGGAACATTGCCTTCTGCAGTTAATCTAAGAAAGAAAGGGATTGACATTGATACTACCTGTTCATTGTGTGGAGAACTGCCTGAAACAACAGAACACATTCTGTTTTCCTGCCCCAGAGCTAGTAGAATTTGGGAATCTTCCCCAGTTCAATGGGATGGCCTCCAGCACTGCACTTTCTCCTTCAAATATTGGTGGCAACAGGTCAGTTCAATCAAACAAAATGATGTTGTCAAAGATAGAATACAATTGTCTACCTACTTGCTCTGGTGGTTATGGAAGTCCAAGAATCTCTGGATTTTTAAAAGATCAGACATGCCAGAGCACTTAGTCATTTCTGCAGCCCTCAAAGATTGGATTGAAGCTTCTTCAGCAGCAGAATTTTGTGATGCTTCCCCTTCTAGTTAGGTTTATTTCTTTTCTTTGTCTAGTTTTGGAGTTTTTTTGGTTTTTGGAAGTGATGTATTCTAGCTAGGCCTTGTGGCAGTGGATAGATGCATTTCTTCTTTGGTAGATTTGTCTTTGTTTGTTAGTTGTTGAGGTTCTAGATGCTTTGTGTAGCATCTCTCAGTTTGTTGTTTTTGTTGGCTTTGTCTCTTGTATTGACACTTATTTTGGTTGTTTAATATAGCTCCTTTATCGTTCTGGCCAAAAAAAAAAAATGAAAAAAAGAAGATTATTTATAACTAGCCTTCGGGCTTCATTCTGTATATCCCCATTATGAGGTATAAAATTTACCGTTTAGAAAAAAATGGTGACAAAAAAAAAATAATAATAATAATAATCCAAGCCTAATTCAAAAGCAATAATATATATAACCAATAAGGGTTAGACTCAAGTGCTAAGCAGCTTGTGTAAGAATATGTGGCCCGAAAGTATTGGGCTCACAATTAATTATTCTATTGGGCTAGTCTTTAATTAATGGTCAAACAGATCTAAGTCATTAATCTGGATATTTGATGGACGTACCAGATCTAAAGCACCCCTATATAAATTAGTCATGTCTCCTCCTATTAGGGTACGTAGTTTTATCCCATCACTTTTCTGCTACGTTAAGGAACGGTCAGGAGAGAGAAACTAATTGAGATCTAACAATCGATCAAGCCTCGTGTGATCATCAAGATCAAGATCACAAATTATGTCGTCTTCCGCATCAACTAAGTATTTCGTATACACCAAATTATTTATTCGAGATCCATGATGAAGTTTACAGCTTGATGTTGCTTAAGCAAGGTCTCGGGTTCGAGTCCTTGTGAATGCAGAAACTCTTGTTGGGAGACTCACCCACCATTGCCAGGTGTGCGACTCGGGTCGACCAATGAATTAGTCGAGGCAAAGCTCCGGAAATTGTGGCTGGCTACCAATATATATATATATATATATACAAATTAAATTATGAAGTATAGAACTTTTCTAGAGCATAAAAATGTGCAAACCAAGACATTTTGAATAAATGTATGGGGGATGATTTTGAGATTTTTTTTAACGGATACTATTACATCCATGTGAAAAGCATTTTCTTTTGTCGTTTTTCATTTGTTGGACAA